TAACATATTAATATATGTGTGTATTAATAATATATTAGTATATGTACATATGTTAATATATAGATATATTAATATATAATCTGGGATAGAATTGGGCCACACATACAAGAAAGAAATGTTGGTAAAGTGTAAATCGCTCACTATATAATTATTGTGTGCTACTATTTGCCAGAACCACGTACAAAGGGAGCTCAAAGTGTCTGTTCTGTTTTTAATATTAGTGTAAAGATGGCATACTCCAAGTAGCACTCAAATTAGGTAGTGGATTCTACCTAAAATGGCAAAAGATTTGTTAGTTGAGGAAATTTACACTACTGCTTTTTTTGCTTTCATGGCTGCTACTGATAATAGTGAATCACACCTACTGCTTATTGAGGATTTGCACGTGCAAGGCACTATGCTAAGCATTTTAAAACATCTTATTAATGCTTATAATGACCCTGTAAGATTGAGGTATTATGGCCATTAAGGAGTAACATAAATATATAAATATATAGAGAAAACTAGAAAAGATAATTGCTTACATTAATTGGACAACTGTGTTATATGAACTCTATTAAGTGTTAGCTGTGTCTATATTTTTCCATCCCTCAAAATAACCTGATGGATAGATATCTTTCTATTGTACAGGAAACTGAGGCATATATGTATAACTTGTACTGTATGGCGGAGCTCTACTGGCATCTGAAACTGTGTTTACTTGATCCTTCATATGATAATAATATACATGTAAAAGTACAATGTGGTTTTCTATAATTGATTCATTCCTTTACACTGGTTATAGTGAAGCCTGTAGTTAGGAGTGGCTAGTGTATTTTCTCTGCCCTGCTTATCATTCTTTGTTGTTTTGTAGCTTCTGAGTCATATACTAATCCATTTTGCCAGTATGTGGAGGCTATTTTCTGTATGATTGTTAAGACTTTTGCTTATTGTCTTTTTAGGCTTTGCTATTTATGTGTTATATACCTGATCTAAGGGGTTACAGAGGATTTGGAAATATGACTAATTAACATTTATCCAGTAAAGCTATTTGGATATAATATATGTTATGCTAGTGATTCTCTAGACCAATAAAGGAATTATTTTGGTAAATTTTCTGAGATATTTATTAAATTATGCAAGTGTATCTTAATTTGATATATTTTTTCTAATAAATACAGTTATATTATACCAAAGTGAAACACTCCAAATAAGGCCTAGTTTACAGGTGTAGTGACTAGCACAGCTCTGAAAAACCTATCTTGTCTGTAGAGCAACAAATTATACAAATGCCTGTGGTTATATCTGCTGAGAAATTTGAACCCTTTCTTTAGGTAAATAATAACTTATCAAATAGAAGACCATTTCTTTATGATTTAAATTTAATATGCATTTCAAAAACATGTATCTCTGTGGCAAGTACTATGAATATTTGTACATGAATTTACTGTTGCTTGGGCCACATATTGTAAAAGACTGACATGAATCAAAAACAAGATTTTTTGCTTATAGACAGCATATTATTTGCATATTTTAGGTAGATATTCAAGTGTGTATCACTAATATATTAAAAGCATTATACCAATATGTATACATCAATTGCCAATTGAATCTGGAAAATGGAATTTCTTTAATAACATATTGATAAATTGGAATTTAAGTTGTTTATAGGTTAATCTCACAGTAAAATTTACCATTTTGGAGGACATAAAAATTATACTTCAGAGCAATTTAGAAATGAAGCAAAAAACTTAAGTTTAAGTGAGAAAATAATGAATTTTTTTGTATAGAGTGTTCATTTTCTATTAGCAAGTTTGACATGAACTGAACTAGGCAGTACAATTATCATTTAAGTCTCATTTCCATATATGTATATTTAAATAAATAAATATTCTATTTTATTAATCAGGATAAAATTACATGCAGATTATATACAGTTTGGTTAATTTGGATATTATTTGTAGCCATTCATGTGAATATATATAACATAATTTTGTGATTATTATAAACAAAAGACAGGTAATTTTTTGACTGCACTTTGAAAAGACAGATTGGTTAATCATATAATGTATAACAATAGAGAAAATTTAGTTTTTAAAATAGTTAATTTTGTTCTCCCCTCTTAAATGTTCTTATTTATTTGTATTGTCACTTTTCATATTTTGTTTTAAAAAATTGTTTTCAGTCAAGGTCCAGTTTTATGTGAAATCGCTCTGATATATATCTTTCATTATATATTTTTTATGTATGAAAGAGAGAAAAGAAAAAAGAATATGAAAATACTTAGAAAAGAAGGGAAAAGAACCAGATAAATAAACAAAAGTAAGAACTGATGAAATTGGAACCAGAGAGGAAACTGATCAGTATGATCTTAAGACCTTTGAAAACCTTGAGCAAAACTACTTGTCAAAGGAAAAAGAACATTTAATGTAGTCCCATCTGTTTAAAATCCATGAAAGATGAAGAAGTAATTTATAATTAACTTTCATAAGGAGGTCCTTGATTCTTTGAGTTTTAAATATGAGAATGAGAAGAGAATAGATCTGGCGTAGTCTGTCAAATGTAGGATTTATCAAGGAGGTACAGTTGGGATGGCAAGAAACATTCTGAGGTGGAGCCACACTAGTGAAGGGAGCTGGCTAGTTCAGAAGAAATACAAGATGAAGAGCAGTAAGACTCAACAAGTTCGAGCTTATAAAACAGGAAATACATTGAATCAGAAAGTTATGAACTAAGTTTATTGTGCAGATGTAACTTAATAGGAACTCTTGCAAGATAAATGTGTTACTTTTGTGATGTATCTAAAGTTTTCAATTCTGGTTATTAATATTTTCTAGATGAAGTTGGTCAATAAATGGTTATCATTCTACTAGTCAGACTCAGTGTTATTAGTCACAGTCTTTCTGTATATTATTCATTACAGTTATGACACCAGGAAAATATTTTTAAAGACCTTCAGAACTAACAGAGATTCAAAAGATACATTTAATTAGGACTCTAAATCCTAGGCATTGCAACACACTTAATTGTGAAGCAGAAGAAAATGACCAAAACATACACCATACTCCAGAGGAATATGGTTCAATATAATAAAGGGTGAGTTTATTGGAGTACGATAATTAGAAGGAATGTTGTACCCTATGTATGCAGCTATGGAGAACAATATAAATACCCTGTTGCTGCTACATGGAAAGGGTCTCTAATACCAACTATAAACATTTAGTAGGCAGAAAAGGGGCTCTGGACTAGAAACACTAAAAAAAAAAGATTCTTCTTTTATCTAAGCTAGACTCATTTGTGCTGTTGTTTTTGCTATTATCTGTGTTGGGGATTATAATTTTCTTTTTCATTCCTACTATTCACTGTAGCTCACAAAGGCCCCTTCCTAAATTCCACTGGACTAGGATGTAGCTCTTTCTGGTCTAGATTTTACCCTCAAAAAGAGTGCTGTAAGAAATGTGAACATGAAGATTCCACAGTGCTCAACCTATCAGAGAGCACCTTAAGGGTTCTGCTTTATGATGTCTCAAGACAAAGAGGGATCATTTTCCTCTGAAGTAGTTTCTGATAAGCTGCCTTTAAATTGTCAAGATGCCTCTGTTTTCTCTTTCAGCAGCCATTTTATCTCATATGATAACTATTAACAATGTGCCTCCTCCTCCACCTCGCAGTATACCAAGTGAGTGGGGAATATGTCGAGGGTCTATCATTGTTTTCAATGATTTACCTCAGAAGTAAGAAGTGGGGTGCTTGAGGTTAGGTAGGGACATTGAGGATCTAATAGTGTAGTGTATGGAAAGAACATAGATGTGCAAATCCTGTCTTGTCTACCTGAAGCCCTTACAGTCCCGCAAGTCTCAAGTATTTCACTTTGTAAAATAAGAATGTTTATGAACTCTCAGAGCTTCAAATAACAAATTCTAAAGAGAGAAAGTAAAGGCTTGGAGAAGTCACATGGCTCAACAGTGATCAGGCCCCTTGTTTCTGAAAGGTCTTCTGGCAGGGCCTACCCAGAGTCAGTCTTACTATTCGTGAGCTAATTAACACTTAATTTTCATAAGAAGTCTCATTAAGATTTTCAACGAAAGAAAGATAATTCCCATGATTCTTGCTCCGAAATTTATTCCTATTTCATTTGATTTTTTTCATAGTCTTTGATTTATAATACCATGGCAATTATAGAGTTAGTTATTTTGAAGTTTATACAATTGACAGTATATGCTTATTTAGATACTTAAAGTTGGAATATTTTTCTCAAGATTTGTTATAGCCATAAAATTTATAGGTCTAATATTTGATCACCAATAATCCTAGTGATAACTGAGATTTAAAAAAACCTTTCATATAACAAAGATCATAATTGTGATCTTTTTGACTTCAATAAACATTTGCTCCATTATTTTAATAGTCTTTGAGTAGGTTTATATGTTTGATTTGAAGCTAACTCATCTATTATTTTATCTTCCTGTGAGAGTCAACTCTTCCAAAAAAAAACTCCAGAGGAATATGGTTCAATATAATAAAGGGTGAGTTTATTGGAGTACGATAATTAGAAGGAATGTTGTACCCTATGTATGCAGCTATGGAGAACAATATAAATACCCTGTTGCTGCTACATGGAAAGGGTCTCTAATACCAACTATAAACATTTAGTAGGCAGAAAAGGGGCTCTGGACTAGAAACACTAAAAAAAAAAGATTCTTCTTTTATCTAAGCTAGACTCATTTGTGCTGTTGTTTTTGCTATTATCTGTGTTGGGGATTATAATTTTCTTTTTCATTCCTACTATTCACTGTAGCTCACAAAGGCCCCTTCCTAAATTCCACTGGACTAGGATGTAGCTCTTTCTGGTCTAGATTTTACCCTCAAAAAGAGTGCTGTAAGAAATGTGAACATGAAGATTCCACAGTGCTCAACCTATCAGAGAGCACCTTAAGGGTTCTGCTTTATGATGTCTCAAGACAAAGAGGGATCATTTTCCTCTGAAGTAGTTTCTGATAAGCTGCCTTTAAATTGTCAAGATGCCTCTGTTTTCTCTTTCAGCAGCCATTTTATCTCATATGATAACTATTAACAATGTGCCTCCTCCTCCACCTCGCAGTATACCAAGTGAGTGGGGAATATGTCGAGGGTCTATCATTGTTTTCAATGATTTACCTCAGAAGTAAGAAGTGGGGTGCTTGAGGTTAGGTAGGGACATTGAGGATCTAATAGTGTAGTGTATGGAAAGAACATAGATGTGCAAATCCTGTCTTGTCTACCTGAAGCCCTTACAGTCCCGCAAGTCTCAAGTATTTCACTTTGTAAAATAAGAATGTTTATGAACTCTCAGAGCTTCAAATAACAAATTCTAAAGAGAGAAAGTAAAGGCTTGGAGAAGTCACATGGCTCAACAGTGATCAGGCCCCTTGTTTCTGAAAGGTCTTCTGGCAGGGCCTACCCAGAGTCAGTCTTACTATTCGTGAGCTAATTAACACTTAATTTTCATAAGAAGTCTCATTAAGATTTTCAACGAAAGATAATTCCCATGATTCTTGCTCCGAAATTTATTCCTATTTCATTTGATTTTTTTCATAGTCTTTGATTTATAATACCATGGCAATTATAGAGTTAGTTATTTTGAAGTTTATACAATTGACAGTATATGCTTATTTAGATACTTAAAGTTGGAATATTTTTCTCAAGATTTGTTATAGCCATAAAATTTATAGGTCTAATATTTGATCACCAATAATCCTAGTGATAACTGAGATTTAAAAAAACCTTTCATATAACAAAGATCATAATTGTGATCTTTTTGACTTCAATAAACATTTGCTCCATTATTTTAATAGTCTTTGAGTAGGTTTATATGTTTGATTTGAAGCTAACTCATCTATTATTTTATCTTCCTGTGAGAGTCAACTCTTCCAAAAAAAATTTTTTTTTTAAATTAATGATCATAGTCTCCAGGGTAAAGTTTACACAGGCAGCAGGTGATACCCTTTGACGGTATATACTTAAGTTTTGAACATTGTTAGCCAAATACTTATGTTGAACTAATTCTTATATATGTTACTTTTATATATTCTTATTGTTATTATGAAAAATATCTTGTGTGTAGTCAAACTATTGTACTTCTATGTGAGTTGAAATGAATATTAAATGTAATTTTGCCAAAAACCACAGCTTCTACTCTACAGGTTTTCTTTGTGCAGAAGGAAAAACAAGTCATCTTAAGACAATTTCTTTAAGACCATTTCTTTTTTGGCAGCCTACAAAGCACAGTAGCTTGAGTGAAAAGATTAAATTAATTTAGAATCAGTGGGATGAGAGATGTGCTACTCTATATAGTGTCTCTAAGGACACAACATGTGTGAAGTGATAAAAAGATGAAAAATCAGCAGCAATTTAGATCTCAGAACTGAATAGAGCATAATGGAAAGCAGGAGAGCTCCCGATTTTCCCCTTAGAGGTTCCTGCTTGATGTTCTATGTCTGTGACTTCTCTTTGGAGATGTGTCCTGCTTATTTAGTAACTGTGTCTTTGTGCTAACTCTAGCACTTCAGCAATTTCCCTCAGCAATCTGTGTTGTCTCTTTTGAAACAATGATTTCATGAAAGCATGTGTGAAGATGTTTTCAATATATGATGTGACCTGAATATGAAGGAGGTACAAATTGGAAAGATGCAAAATGCAATGGGCATAAATAGGAAGGTTCAATTAAGGACCTTAAAAAAACCCAGCTAAAATCCTCTCTATTTGCAGATAACATGATTTTATATATAAAAAATTCTAACAACCAACAAAAATCTCCTAAAACTAATCAACAAATTCAGTAGAATTCAGTAGAATACAAAATTAACGCACAAAACTTAGCATTTCTATACACTAACAATGAATTATCTGAAAAAGAATCAATCCCATTTACAATAGCATCAGAAACAACAAAATACTTAGGAATAAATTCAACCATGGAGAGGAAAGATCTCTACTCTGAAAACTGTAAGACATTGATGAAAGAAATCAGTGAAGATACAAGTCAATGGAAAGGTATCCTGTGTTCATGGGTTGGAAAGAATAATATTGTCAATACTACCAAAAGCTGTCTATAAATTCAGGGCAATCCCTAATAGTATTTCAATGGCATTTTTAAACAGAAAAAGGAAAAATAGCTCCTCAAATTTATATAGAACCACAAAAGACTCCCACATAGCCAAAGAAATCCAGAGAAAGAAGAACAGAGCAGGAGGCACCCTACTTCCTGATTTCAAGCTATACTGTAAAACTATAGTTTTCAAACAGTATGATACTGGCATAAAACAAACAGGCTAATAGAATAAAATAGAAAGCCCAGAAATAAACCCAAGCATATATGATCAACTAATATTTGATAAGGGAGCTGAAAATACTCAATGGAGAAAAGTGTCTTCCATAAATGTTGCTGTGATAATTGGAAATGCACATGTAAAAGAATGAAACTGGACCCATATTTTAGACTACTCACAAAAAATTAACTCAAAGTGGATTAGATACTTAAATGTAAGACCTGAAACCATGAAACTCTTAGAATAAAACAGGAATAAAGCTCCTTGTCATGGTCTTGGTATGATTTTTTGAATATGACACCTAAAGCACAAAGAACAAAATAAAAAATAAACAAGTGTGACTACCTCAAACTAAAAAGCTTCTACACAGCAAAAGAAACCATCAGCAAAATGAAAAGACAATGTGTGGAATGGGAAAAAATATTTGCATATCATCTATCTGATAAGGGATTAATAACCAAATATATAAAGAACCCATATGACTCAATAGCAAAAACAATCCAATAAAACATGGGCAAAGGATCTGAATAGACATTTTTCCAAAGAAGATATATGAATGCCCAACAGATACGTGAAAGATGGTCAACATACCTAGTCACTAGGGAAATACAAATTAAAACCAGAGTAAGATATCACCTCAAGTCTGTTAGAATGGACATCATCAAAAGGCAAGATAACAAATAGCACTCTAATTTCCTCCTATCCAGCACACTGAAATCAGCTGCACATTTTATCAGTTAAACAATGTATATACATTTGTTGCCATTTTGCCATTTTGGCTACTTAGACAGTTGATGTAAGGGAGAGAACATATGCATTTTCAAACCCTTCCAGGACTATTTTTTTAACTCTGAAATTCAGATTTGCAAGTACTCTAAGTAGTTAAGCTTTGAGTCACTTACACAGTTTTTCTTTGAAACTTTCAAGTCTTCTATGGTCTCTCTGACTTGTGTCTCAGAATTCTTTACAGCTTGCTAACCCTAAGAAAATGATTGTTCTCTAAAGCAGAAAAGTCATGACACTTTTTATTCTGAATGAAAATTCTTTTAAAATCTTCAGTTAGAAAAGCCTATGGTAGTTTTACTACCTGGGTGAAATAGTGTCTGGTCTAGGTACACACATGACCCATTCTTATTAGAAGTTGATTTCTTAAAGAGACAAAAGGAAGAAAAGTCTCTTAATTTTTTTTAATATAATGCAGGAAACTGTCCTTAGCATTTGATTGGAGGAAATCTTTTACAGTTATGATTAGGAGTATGGTCTAGTTAGCTACCTTTGTTTGGGTTAATATACTATGCCTCTTTTTTCTTCATGCTTATGAGTCTTACCCTTCTGAGAAAGGACAAGTTAGAAAATACACTTTATATTTTGATACTGGTTTATCTGGAAGAAAGAATTTCTGTGGTTTAACGAAAGTGTTTATTTTTTATTTTTTATTTATTGCTGTTTTTCCAGTAACAAAAAGGTTTCAGGTTCACAAGATAGTTGAGGCACATTTTTCTTGTTCCATTAGAAGATGTAGAAGGAAAAAAAAATTTAAGAAAAGACTAGAGATACTTCAAGGAATTTAGAAACAAGATAGTACTCCTATGTGGATGTTTTTCTTTGCTCTTTTTTCATTTTATGGTGCACATTTACAGAAAACCTGAAAAAAAAACGGTGTCATCATTCCTAATACTTCAAGGGCATTTCCTGTGATCTGAGTCTTCCAGTTCTTTGGTAGCTAAAGATTAAAGGAATGTCAAAATCTGGAAAATTGAATATTGCTCCATTTTAAAGTTTTAAACCATTCAGATAATAGGAGTACATATAAGAGAAAGAAGGGCTTGTCAGTAGAGAAGACAGAGAAGCAAACTGTAATGTGTAAGGAAAGCAAGGTTGAGAAAATAGCTGAAAGAGGTGAGAATGGATATTCCAAGAGGGAATGAAAGATGGAAAAGGCAGTTGAATGTATATGTCTCTGTGTTTGAATAATCAATATGATCCCTGTGGAAAATGCCACTGGACAATTTACAAAAAGAAATATTAGAAAAATATTTTCTCAACTTTATTTTTCAGTGTAAAAGACACCTTTTTCTTTTAAATCTCAAAGGAGAAAAGATGGATGCTATATTGAAAAAAAAAAGCATTTTTTAAATTCTTTTCTTTTCTTACCACTGTTGTACTTTTTGTCAGAAAACTTTGACCCTTAGAAATCAAGTTGTGGCAATTTAAACTTGAGTTCAATCATGACTGGGGGTTCAGGCAGGAATCCTTAAATTGCAAAGCACTGCACATCAGATTTCTTCAGTAGAGGTCACACTAGGTCACCCCTGAAGTCTTAAGGCTACTGCTGTTTTCTAGGGATTCTCTCCCAGAAGTACCTCTTGCATTAGTCCTCTATTATCAGTCCTTCAGCCTTCTAGATAGGTCCTCCATAACCTTTTATTTTAGGGTTAGGGTTAGGGTTAGGGTTAGGGTGTGTGCTCCCGGGGTAGATTTCCAGGGCTGGGTATTTAGCAGTCCTGGGGCTTCAATTCCCTCCCCGTTCTGATTCTCTTCCCCCAGCTGGTGAAGTGGGGTGGGGAATGCCCAGATCCTGGGGAAGCAGATTTATTACTTTACCCTTTTCTATGAGCTGTTCTATTCTCACAGATCTGGCTTGTGCAATCTTATTTCTGGTCACTCATTTAGGAATAGTTGTATTTGCTGTACTTTTCTATTATATATGGTTTTGGGAGGAGATTTCTGCCTCACTTCTCATGTCACCATCTTTTTCCTCACAAAACCCATTTTTAAAAAAACTGTATATCCGCCACCACAAGCATACTTAATTCACCATACTACACAAATATGAAAATATGAATCTACCTTTAGACAAACAACACATACAAAGAACCACTTAGATGAAACATTGGATTTCTCTATTTCAATAGTATGTAGTGGACCTTTTATCCATAAAGATAAATGGTTTTTGAATTGCTCTATGGATTTCTAATCTAGGATTAATTTTGTAACCACCCTTTTATATTATCTTTTAATCCTCTTTCAAACTTTACTCTGATCAAAATCTTTGATTTTATCCCCATTACAGAGTTAAGTCCCTCTACTTCTGTCAAAAGCCCAGCTAAGACTTATTTGTGAGGAGGAAACAAGACTGGAAAACAAATGTAAACTCTTTGAAACTTTTAAAACTTTATCCCTGTATGAAACTTGGTCACCACACAAGCTCAACTTCTGGTCTTTACATAGTTACAGTTTCATGTTGAAATTTTTTTTTTAAACAAAACTGCTTCAAAGACAAGATTCATTGTGTTGCTCAACATCCTTTATGTAAAGACCCTTGTGACAAATACCTCTTGGGAATGAGGATAAATGTAGAAGCAGTTTTTTAGTGAATTGCAGTGTCCTTCTAGGCTGTGAGTACTATTAAGCTATTATAGTCTTGAGTTTACCTTTCTGTGCCAAGCCTGGTGTAAAGCTTTACTCTCAAGTGCTATAGCTTTCCTCAGGCAAGGTGATTTTTCAGTTTTTCTGTTGTTTGCTTGCAGTTCTTATAATATCCATCCAGTGATTTTCATTTTTTTGTAAGCTGCTTTAACTGAAGTATGAAGATATTTTCTTATTTAAACCCATTTTTAAAGTCAGATTTCTTAAACCTTCAGCTTTTTCTGTATCTTAATAGCACTATCCACCTTTCCTCTCTGTACCAGTAACCAGGGCTATTTCCTACTATGTTCTTAAACTGGTTTTGGAAAATATATTAAATCAATACTTTGTAGGAGTCTCTTCTTAATCCATGTATTATCTAAAAATCTACTATAATTAAGATCCTATATAAAAATGTTAGTATATTATAACTATTTTTGATATAATCTAGCTGTAACTCTGCTCATTTTAAACAATCCATATGATGCTAAAATGTAAATAGGTAATTTTTTTGTCTTTTTTTTTCTTTTGGTATCATTACTGTACAATTACATGAGCAACATTGTGGTTACTAGATTCCCCCCATTATCAAGTCCGCACCACATACCCCATTACAGTCACTGTGCTAATTTTTTGTTTCTTAAGGCTTAACTGAATAATGTAGGTAATAAAATGCCCAAGTCATTTATTTAATGTTTTTGCATTTATTAAATGGTAGTGATATATGTAACAACCAGTTTTCTGTTTAAATTTCTCTTATTTTAATTTCATATTTAGAAAGTGGTATGTGTCATTGATGATTAATTTTTAGATCACAAAAGGATTAAACAAAAAGTCAGACTTTATAATTCAGTAGCTTGAAATTGAAAGGGATAAATTTGGACATGTCAAATTCCAACTGTTCATTATTGACATGTGGTCAGTGAATACATTTGAAGAAGTTTAAAAATGCATTGAGCAGATGATTTTCTCAGTACCTTTTCACTAAAGGATAGAATGATGTGCACGTTGGTGTGTGGTGCTGCTCTCTGTTTCATAGCATTTCTAGCAGCGTGCATCCTCCTGAGTAAGGGGAGGACCTGCGCTGTGAGTGCCCACCGTTGTTATGATGCTTATCATGATCAGTGCTCTATCTTCCTTTCCATCTCCTTTGAAGGATATCGGTTCTGTCACTAAAGGAAAATCACAATTAGTTTACTTCTTGGCTGTGATTACTATCTTTCAGCTCTTAAGAGATCTTATGTGATTTGCTTACTACACCTGAACTTCAGAAGGAGTTGCAGACTGAATCCAGACACTGAGAGGTGCTCTTGAAGAGGAGTTAGCTAAAGATAGGGACCTGCATAGGACTGAATGAAAATGACCAGAATTCTAGAGACAGACAGACAGATGGAAGAGATAGAAAGACAGAAAATGAGAGACTGAGACTGAAATCTTAAAAAAACTCTTCTTTGAATTGTCATATCTGGAGTTTTGGAGCCAGTTTACATTCGAAAGGTATAGGATGGGGATTCTTAAAGGCTTATTCTCAGAGTGACATTTTATGATGTATATAAACTTTGCTGGAGTTAGCAACAAACAATGCCAGATCAGATTTGACATCAATGAAAGACATTAAATTCTTTCTTCATTTTAATCACCCTATTCAGTTCTGCATTGGGTATCAAACAAAGACTATTAATACCTCCCTTCCATAGTCACTGAATGTTTTTACTGTGATGAATGTTTGCAATTAAACTCTACTTACACACTTGGTTAATGAGATTACAGAAAATTACTCACATTTTTAATTGATTTTTTTTTCAGAGTTGAAAATGTCTAAGTACATTGATTATGGTCAATTGAATTCATTATGCCGCATGAGAGGACTACACTACAGGTAAGTTATTCATGCATTTCTTTTTCTGTCATTCAAATTAATATCAATATGCTTGTGTCATAGATAAAATATAGTAATAAACCATTGTTGACTCTCAGAGGTATCTGATTTATCACACAGATAAAAACATTTGAAAACCTGGAGGTTATTTCTCCAGATTGAAGGGACAGAATGTATGTCATATTTTAAAGAAGCAATTTAGTGTGAAGCAAACATAACTCATCACTACCTTGGCACTAAGAAGTACTTAAAATGCCATCATAAGGGAAAAAAACTTTAAATATTTAAACAAAAATTATGAGTGAAATAAGTACTTTAACAGTGTGTAAGGAGATGCCTAGTTGAAATATACTGGAACCAAAGAACTATAATATATCATGGTTCAAAGCTTAGGATTCCTAAGATATGTGATGGTTGAAGATATAATTTTAAAAAATCTACTTTCTTGACAACTCCTTTCCCTAAGCTGAATTCTTGAAATTATAAAACTAGTTAGTTTCTTCCATATTCATCAGTGTCCATCCACTTCCTTCACTAAGAGAAAACCTCTCATCTTTTATGGGTCTGCTAAGAAATTGCCGTAAGTGTACAAACTTTCTCTTTGATTTTAAAAACGTCTCTAAATTGAATCCTTTTAACCACTTTGAATTGTTTCTGTTATCTTCATTCATCTTTCCATTTCTTCTCTCTCAGGAGAGCGTGCTTCTTTCACTCTTTGGATTTCTCCCAAGAGTGATTTTTTTTCAATGTACTGCCTCCCCCTCACTCCCAGGGCCTTAAGGCACAGGGCAAAAAATTAAGTACATAACTGTGGAGTCAGGTTACCTGGTTGGACTCCTGACTGAGCCACTTAACAGGTGTGTGACCTGAGACTAGTTACTTAATTTCTCTTTACCTAATTTTTTTTATTTGTGAAATGGAGGTAATAGTAGTACCCATTTCAAAGAGTTATTGGGATGATTAAATGAGCAAATATATGTAAATTAAACAGTGTTTGGCATATGGTAAGCACTATATAAGTGTTTTTATAAAATTATTATTGTTTTAAAAAAAGCTCATGAAAATTTTTAACTGTTGAATTTACCTTATCCCTGGTCTCTTTGCTAACACATAAGAGGCTAGTTAGAGCTTTTGGAGCCAAATGCCATTTTTCCTCTCTTTTTCCTTTTGCCATCCAACCCAGAGTTTTTTTTTGTTTTTTTATTTTAAACTTGTTTTTATATATTTTTTCCCACCTTGAGAGAGCATAATAGGGATTGAATCATTTACATATGGGTCTGCCAAAGTATCCATTTTACGTACATTTTATCAGCCTTCATCTTCCTGGTTTGATAATCCCTCCCAGTCAGGGTTCTCTCAGTCATCTGGCCCAGGCTCAGTCTGTTTGTCCTGCCTGACTTCTCTCTATTAAGTCTCACATTAACTTTGTCTTCTCTTAGACACAAATTCCCTGAGTTTCTCAATTGTTTTCTTTTGTGGCCCTGGCAGACACCAGGGGCCTGGGAAGGGGCATTGTATATATATTTTGGGTCATTCTTTTAGAAAAAGAATATAAGATTATAAATAAAAATTAGATATGAAAATGAATATTTATTTAGAATGAGAAAATAAATTACAACAAATTAATGAAGGCTTGGCAAGCCAGGTCCTTTCTCCCTGAGCCTTTTTTTAAGGCAATTTACCAGAAATGCATACATAGAAAGTATTTAAGTCTTTCAAAATTATGAAGCGTTCAGCTGATTTCAGCAAAGTGGGAAGAGATTTAAGAAAAAAGGTACTCCATATTTATTCTTTATATATATGATAAAAAGGCCCAATGAAATATACTTTTCCCTTATAATAAAAACAGAAAGGCTAAAAATTAAATGACTTAAGGATTGAAATTTTTATATGTGAAACCTACCAAAGGCCTTAGTTTTGATTCTAAAAATGTATATATTTATATATCTTCCATCTTCTTTGGATAGTTGTCCTTCCTCCCAGGTTCTTTCTGTGGCCCAGGGTAAGAGGATAGAAGGGAACTTGCTACTCTTCTCAACTTTCCATGTACCAGGTTGGCTCAACACCAGTTGTTAAAGCTACTCCTATCCTCTACCTGGGCAGAGGGGAGCCCTTCCACTGGATGTTATGTCCTTGCGTCTGTATGTCTATATAAACGTGTACATATTTGTACGTAAGGCAAGCCCCACTGTGTAGTAGCTGCTGCCCATATGTGTGTGGTCTCAGTCAATTGCTGTCAGATGCTTTTCTATTAGAATAAAGATTGACATATTAGGGATTTTAGTCACAAGTAAAAGAAAAACTGAATCACAAAGGGGGATTGGTGGCACTTTGGATTTCTAAATTCTTGGATGTAGGACTTTTCATCTCTTGTAGACTGCATTCCCCATGTGGGCAGGAGATTTATCTTACTGTTTATTGCTGCCTCTGGACATTTGATATAGAGTTCAGCATTTTGAATTGAATTACATTCTCATGTTTACTAGAAATAAGTATCTTCTTGCTGCTTTAAAAATATGTGAGTTTTCTACCTGTGTTGATTATGAGGATAGATATTTTTTGTGTGATATATATATATATATATATATACACATACATATATATATATTTATATTAGTATTATGTAGAGAGCTGATCATTTTTAAACATAACTTTTATAACTAGGAACAAATCCTGTTGGTTTGATATTCCAGTTTTCTTCCTGTACTATATACTTAGGTATATACTTGATTATGCTTTGAAGATTTTTTTTGTGTAGTCTAAGACTTGATCAGTCAGCTCTTTAAGTTCTAACGTTCAATTTATTTAGTAATAAGCTGTAACATAGTTTAAAAGGAAATTTGTTTTCCTAAGTTTCACATTAAAAAAAAATGAGGCTACATCTTTGCAGTTGCATTTTCCTACATCGACAAGTATATTTGTAGCTATATAAAAAGGCTTTTAAACATGTGTAAATTTGGAAATTTAGAAGACAAACACAGTTATGATGTGTATGTATTTGTACATTTGTATAAAATGGTGCTTGTCAGACAATTAGCCTGTGACTGGAATATAGCAAGAGCTCAGTATTTGTTAGTGATTAATATTACTCATATATAGCTACTTCTATTCAAATACAGATGTAGTTATGCTCATTATAATTTTTATACTTAACGGAGCCTGTAACTCAAACAGGTTTTCAGTCAAACACCATTTATAAGTTGACTGCCTAGCATTTAGCACTTTCCCATAGACACGGTATTGTAGAATCAGAGGACTGTAGAGCAGGAAGTGAACTTAGAACTCAACTAGTGGAAAATCCTTAACTTACAATTGATTAAATCTATCCAATTTTTCTAAAATGTATCTTTAAGTTTTATACTTTTATAATGAAAAAGATGAAGATTCAATCATTAAAATTATAGTAATTAGTTAAAATACAAAAAATTACACTGAATTGTTTCTCATTGTTTCAGGTTAAGGTAAAGTACATCAAATTATTAGAGTATTAGAGGTTGATAGATACAATTATGATGATCTTAAGGATGTTCCTGTGTAAGGTTAAGGCTTTTAGAATCTATGGATAATGGTTGGGTCTTCATTATAACTACTTTTTTTTTCAAAATGTGTTATCTTTCTTTTTCTTTTTCTTAGTGTTTTGCTAATTCTCTTAGCTTATCAGCAGACTTTTTTTGACATAAAATAATGAAGATATGAAGAGATAGGTGATTTTCTATTTTTAAGGAAATAAAATTTTCAGTAGAAAGGGGAATGAAGAAGATCTTTGAAAAGATTGTTTATGTACACAAAAGAAATTAACTGAGCTATGATACCACACACATTGCTTTGTCTGGAATTAAGTCAATTTTTCTTTTGAACAGTTTCTATTGATGACCACCAGTTGGCACTGTCAATCTAGAACAACCTTGTCTTTTTTGGTGGCAGAAAATGTGGGCAGATGGAATCTTGCATTTATTTAATACGTCTGAACAACTTGGAGGCTTATAATTCAAGGTCTGCCTAGTAATGTTATTTTACCAAAAGTGCATGCTCTTATATCTAGTTGTGCAGAACAGGATTGAGGCATATTTTCTTAAACTTTCTTAAGTTATAGGAGTTGCTATAGATTGTCTCAAAGATACTATTAACCCTCAAATTTCCCTAGATATTGATTTAAGAAACAAATACATTCTCATGAAAACCCGTTCCCCTCCCCCATTCCCTATCAGTATAACAAGTAAACTGTAAGCTCTCAGAAGGAAACAACCATGTTGGTTTACCACTGCATTTTCATAGCCTATTTTTCATGGCACATAGTTGGTATTCAAAAAATCTTTGCCAAATACATGCCATTTACCCAGTAACTGAAACATGAAAATCCTGCAGGCAGGTTTTATTCCCTTTTCTCTGTTTTTCCATGTATTATATTTAGAGTCTATTATTCCTTTGTATTTCTAATACTTGTTACTTTTTTACCCACTATTAAACTCTAGCTCTTATTGCCTGACTTCAGGTCTACCAAATTTATAATTGGAATTTCATTCTCAAATTTCATAATTCCTCATTGTGTGCTAAATATTAAATATTTATTTTTTTCATATATTTTTAATAGATTTACAATTGGAATTTCATTCTCAAATCTCATAATTCCTCATTGTGTGCTAAATATTAAATCTTTACTTTTTCTTTTATTTTTAATAGATTTTATTTCTGAGTAGTTTTAGATTGATAGAAAAATTGAGCAGAAAGTAGAGCTCCCCTTACTACTCCTTCTTAGTTTCCCATATTAACATCTTACATAAGTATGGTATATTTGTTACAATTAATAAATTAATATAGATATATTATTATTAACTAAAATCCATTGTTTATAATAGGATTGACTATTGTGCATTCTAGGGTTTTTGACAAATGTATAACAACATATATCTACCATTACTGTATCACACAAAATAGTTTCAGTGCTTGAGAAATACCTTGTGTTCTACCTATTCTTCCCTTCCTCTCTAGTCCCTAGAAAC